ATCCTTCAATTTAATTACTGTTCTTAGCTTTGCTTCGCTTTAAATCTGTCGTTTCCCTTATTCTCACCGCATGAAATCAAGTCATTTATGCATAATTAATGAGCTGTCATTTGATTCCGACTGCTTTTCAATTGGATTTTGAGTGCCGTCAATTTGGTTAGCTAAATGTAATTGAGTATGAGAAACCTTTAAGCGGCCTACTCAAATAACTTCGATTCACTTCGAGTAGGCCAGTTAAAGGATTCTCATACTCTTTTAACTAATGCAAATTTAATTAGTTGCTTTGGCTGCCTTCGTTGCCAATAAGTCCTCAGGCATGGCCTGCTATTGGCCAATCGGCTCAACAGTCAGCAAAATTCAACGACTGCGCAAAAAAATTCAATTATGATAATTGGGCAAGTTGAAGCATTGCAAAACGGTGGAAATGTCTCATGTCATGAGTTATTAACAAATGTGTCGGCTGACGTCAATTGTTGACAGACAGAATGGACGGACAACCGACTGAAGATATAGTCTATGATAGATACGACTGTCCCAGCCTTAAGAGATAAATGTAGTTTGTAATATGACAGGGATTACTTTGGCTGATTGTTCCACTTAGTTAGTTAGTTGACTGACACAAAGATAAATGTATTTGATGTTGTGAAACAAGAACTCACCATTCAGCGAAAGATTAGAGCATGATAGAGGAATTATAAAAATTAAATGCAATATAAGAACCTTTAGTGGTTTATGAATTTGAGTCTGAAAACTGAAAGAAAATAAAGCCACTGACCTATAGCAACATATCGTGGACTGAAACAATTGGAAATGTCAAGCGACATATGATACATTATTTATAAGAATTCCATTCATGACTGTTTCCACTGAGTGAATCACCATTCAATTAACTGTCTAGCTGCTCGATAAAGTCCTTTCGACATTATTTGACATTATTTATGGACAATTACCAAAATGTGTACCAAATTCGACCTGACAAAAGCGAATCAATTACCGTGGCGCCCTGGCCAATGATTACATTTATGCTCCTATCCTTTCGCCCCAACGCGTTTAGCTGGCACAGACGACAACGGCGTCGTCCTCGTTGGCTGCGTCAACTGCGCTGCCGCCACCTCTGCCGCTGCCCCATGCCGCACACCTGAAATCTGACGCTCACGGCGAGAAGGACCTGTTCGATGTGTCGCTCGACGATGAGGAGGAGGCGGGTCATCATCATATGGAACGCTATCCGCTCTCCCAAGTGGATTTTGCACGGGTCAAGACGCCGTTCATAATTGGCATTTGGATACTGTCAGCGAGCATAGCCAAAATCGGTAAGTATATATGCTTAGTACCTACAGTATAACCATCTATATGGGTATATAACTCTAGTTGCTGTGTGTGTGTGAGAGTGGGCGTGGCTGCAGGCTGGCAGCGGTTGCCAGGCCAGCAAAATCAATATGTTTTATATAACGTCGGCTCTGCCGCTGTCAGTGACATGCAGCTTTACGTCAAATTGTAAGCGTGTGTGTGTGTGAGTGCCTGTATTGATGTGTAGGTGTGCAGCCCTGTCCCAGCTGAAGGACATTGCATAAGCGCCAGCCAAGTGCGCAACAAGCACAACGAAAACCTTGACACTGCCCCCTAAAAAGCAACCCCCAAAAAAAAATGTAATTCAATCCCTGCGCCAACCCCCAAGCTTTCGCTCAAGCATCAGCCCCAGGAGCAACAATTTGCTGATTGCATAAGCCATTTTGGCTGCAATCTCGATTTCCACCTCCCACTCCTCCCGCCCGTTGACCCCTTCGTGCTCTTGACTTTGTTATCAGCTTGGCTTGCTCTTGCAGCCGATTTAAACCTTGAATTCTTTTTGTTGTTTTTTTTAATATTTTATTCGCTCTTGCACAAAAGTCCATTTGCCGAAGGCCATCAAATATGCGCCCGAAAGGCACACGCAGCAGCAAACCGAAACCGCTCACCCACCCACCCATTGTTGGCCTCTTTTTATGGACAACTCCGCATTGGCAAGTGCCACAAGTGACCAGAGCCACTTAAATAATTATTAGAAACATTTTCAAAATGATGCCGAAATTATGCAAAAGTTTATTAAATAAAAGTCTCACTTTAAACTTGATGAAAATTTTCGGATAGGTTGCCTAGCCACAGGCTCTACTAAAGTTTTATAATGGAGCATTATATATGGATTAAAAAGTGTATAAATTTCATTAACGAATAATAGTTAATAGAAACTTTTATATAATGACTTTGATATGCACATCTAATCATTCATTATAATCAAAATATGTTGAGATATATCAAATATAATGAAATATATTTTATCTTATAAAACATTTACATGTACTTATTAATATGATTCTCTACAACTCTTTTTGGCATTTCTAGAAAACTTGCTAATCCAACTAAATCAAAATAAATTCTTGAAAATATATTTGCGTTGAAGTGCCTTAACTGCCTTGTTTTATGTAGCATTGTTTACTATATAGTAGTATAGTCATCAGCATAGCCATTGACCCAAATACAAAAATCAACAATATCAACAACAACAAATGTATATTTGCGAGGTATATGGGAGGGGATCTGCTGGCGAAATTTCCATGTAAATGGGTGTTTGTTGAAATGGAAATTGCTATTGTCTCGCTTTTTACAGTCAGTGTAACACCAGCAAAAGTATTCGTCGACGCCCACAACTACTCTGATATGTACATATGCAAATTCATGGGCATTGTTAGGCCCATGTCAAGTTTTTCTTTGCATTTAAAATTTATATTTGTTTTTCTTTTCACTTTACATTTCAGGTTTCCACATGACACCCAAGTTGCATCTGATATTTCCGGAATCCTGCCTGCTGATTGTCGTGGGCGTGGTCATTGGCGTTGTGCTCTACTTTTGCACGGATGTTGCCGTCTCCCCACTCACGCCGAACACGTTCTTCTTCTACATGCTGCCGCCGATAATTCTGGATGCGGGCTACTTTATGCCGAATCGCATGTTCTTCGACAACCTGGGCACCATCCTGCTAATGGCCGTCGTCGGCACCATCTTCAATGTGGCCACAATTGGTAAGCGAATCCAATGAATTGATTTCCATTGAAGTTGCGTCATCGACATCGTCATCGTTATCGTGTCTGTGCCGCCAATTGAGTGGAACGCGACCCTTAAGTGTTTTGAAATTGAAGTGGTTGCTCAGCCATGACTGCACCACTTGATGGTGGATCACACTCATCCATTACGCGCGAAAGCTCAATTCATTTGCTCTCTCATGGAGCTCAACAGAAAGCAGAGATAGCCTGAGTGGAGGGAGTATTTGCAGTATTAGTGAATATGCTGAATTGATAAAATGTTGGTCGAAATCAAACTTTTATACTATATCACTACAACTATATGTGAATAGTTTCACAAAAGTCTACTTTAATCTCTTAAAAATCATAAAGTTATTTTAATCATTTCCAGATTATCAATTCAGCTTATCTTATAAGTATGTGATCATATGATTTCAATTTAAAACCTTTTCGGAATGTAGAACGGAAGGCATTTGGAATTACATAGTTATTGAGATTATATAGTTATTAACTATTGATGATAAAGACATATACACATATGTACTTTTTTTATTTCCTCTTTAAAGACCAATATTAATTTATATAGATACTAAATCAAGAATATGAAATGAATGATGTAATGTCAGTGCAGGCAGCGTAGCGTTAACATTTCAATTGCAATTTTCACACGCCGACAAAGTCAGCAAAATTACTGGATACATATATGGAGCATTACTTAGAACACACTACAATGGCGACACGCTTGTTACACACACACACACACACACACATCAAAATTTGTGGCACGCGAGCAACAAACATTGTTGTCCAAGGGCAGGGCAACATGAGCATGGAACGGAGAAGGGCTGGATGCGGGGTATGGGGGGAGGGAACAGTTGTAGATGACCGTTTAGACGTGATTTATGCCAAATGTGGCACCGCACGGCATTGATGTGTGTATGTGTGCATGCATATACACATAGATAGGCACATGCACAGATACAGATACAGATACAGATACATGCCTGTATCTAGGGTAATTTTTGAGGAAACGAGATTTAATGATGAAGGCACGAGGCATTACGCTCGGTTGGCTCACACCCGCACAAAGTGATTTTAATGAAAAATAAGCAAATATTTACAGATCTGAGAGATTTTGTTACACCTAAATGTTGACAAATGTTAGATAAAGCCAACACCAAAACTCATATTAAATGTAGTGAGTGTTTCCTTGAGTAAGTTGAAATTTAAGATTTTTGTTGGTGTCTCGTTGACATTTTATTACGCGTGTTTTTCCAAGTATTTTACTGTAGGTACTACCAGTGTTTCCACTGATATACAACGCTACTAGATATTGTTACAAATGTTAGATAAAGCCAACATTGAAACTCCAGTTGAAATTTAAGATTTTTATTGCTGATTTCTTGAGGTTGCTTTGCATGGTCTTTCTCGAGTATCATTCTAGACCAACTGTCTGCATTTCTACTGCTATACATTCACTTTTAAATATATGCTGTTATTAATTTTCCTGCAGAGCCACAACATATCCTTTACTTTTACTCCTACTGCCTTACTCCTGCTCCTAAATTAAACCTGTGCATTAGCTAATCGCAAATTGAATATATAGTAATTTCAACAAATAATATTAAAACAGCGTACTCCCATTTCAATTGCATTAGAAGAACTCGGTTTAATTAAGTGTGCGCACATGTGCCGACGTGTGCGACTGACAATGCAATAAACTGGAAAAGAAGAAGAAGAGAAAAATAGTGTAGAGATTCATGCCCCTTCTTGCATTGCAGGTGGCTCGCTTTATGCGTGTGGCGTGATGGGCATCTTTGGCGATGAGATGCCCAAGCTATTGGATGTCTTTCTGTTTGCGTCGCTTATTTCCGCCGTGGATCCGGTGGCCGTCCTTGCCGTCTTCGAGGAAATACACGTCAACGAGATCCTCTACATTGTTGTCTTCGGCGAGTCCCTGCTAAACGATGCCGTCACGGTAAGTGCAGTTGCTTTTATTGGGTGATTCGCCAGAAACTTTTACAAGCCCATCAAATCATCGTTTAAGCCACGAAACAGCTCCTCTCGAAATGCAACTACCGATTGCTACTAGCTGGCCGCCATACAATATACATACATTCGTTTGATATTCTCTTGCAGGTCGTCATGTACCACATGATGGAGGCCTATAACGAAATTGGATTGCCGCACATAATGGCACAGGACATTGCCAGCGGCGTTGGCTCCTTTTTCGTTGTGGCTCTGGGAGGCACTGCCATAGGTAAGACGCAAAGCCAATCAATAAATACATGAATCGAAAGTATATATGATATAATGAGTGAAAACATATTCATCCAGCTGTAGTTTATTATAAATGCATAATCAGATTATAGATTATATATATAATATTAAACATAATGGAGGAGAAGACATCCAGAGCACTACTGTAGTTGACATTTCTAGGAACCTTATTCCAATACCATGTTCACCTTACACTGAGACGTCTGCTAGACATCTATCTACATGTTTATTTAAATATATTTTTATATACCTTTTCAATTCATATTTTACCTGTGTCATTTTATTTTCCTTATGCAGGCATCATTTGGGGCTTCCTAACCGGTCTGGTTACACGATTTACGGATCATGTGCGTGTCATAGAGCCCATATTTATATTTGTTATGGCCTATCTGGCGTATCTAAATGCGGAAATCTTTCATATGAGCGGCATACTTGCGTAAGTATGATCGAAATAAAACTAATATAATTATTATAATTTAATACTTCCACATTGCTCTTTTTTTTTCCTTTCTCTCTCTGTCTCTCTGACTGTCTCTCTCTATTGTGCAGCATTACCTTCTGTGGCATTACAATGAAAAACTATGTGGAATCGAATATCTCTCAGAAATCGCACACGACCGTTAAATATGCCCTGAAAATGTTATCCAGCTCGGCGGAAACAATTATCTTCATGTTCCTAGGCGTGGCGACAGTCAATAACATGCACGTGTGGAATACGTGGTTTGTGGTGCTAACCATTACCTTCTGCTCCGTTTTTCGTGTTATCGGTGGGTGATCCAACTACCCTTTCAAATGTCCATTACTGAAATCATTCTCTACCTGCACAGGTGTGATTATATTGTCGGCCATTGCCAATCGTTTTCGACTGCACAAATTGTCGCGGGTGGATCAGTTCGTCATGTCGTATGGCGGTCTACGTGGCGCTGTTGCCTTTGCTCTCGTGCTGCTCGTCGACGAGAAGGTGGTCAAGCATAAGAACATGTTTGTGACCACAACCATAGCTGTGATCTACTTTACGGTGTTTCTGCAAGGCATCACCATAAAGCCCCTCGTCAAGATACTGAATGTGAAGCGAGCCAACAAACGCAAGCCCTCCATGAATGAGCGCATACACGAACGAGTAAGTTTAACACGCTTGTCAAATATACAACTGCTAGTTACAAATATTGTTTTGATAAATTATAAATATTATTCTTCAAAAACCTGATGAAAAATTTTGCTAATCTACATTGAATATTTTATTTCTTTACCTTAGTTCATGGACCACTTGATGGCTGGCATTGAGGATATTGTGGGCAAGACAGGCAATTACAATGTGCGCGATAAGTTCAAGCGTTTCGACAATCGCTTCATACGCCCACTGCTGATCAGAGACCTGAAGGTAGGCATCGAATAAAATAATCCTAACCAGCTTGACTCTCGAATTATTTAAACTCTATCTCTATCTCTGTCTGTTTTACTCTTCAGGGCGCTGAACCAAAGATTATTGAGACATACTCCAAGCTGACCATGCGCGATGCCATGGAGGTGATGCGTCGCAATCCCTCAACCATTGGCCAGATGACGGGCACCGAGTCGATGAGTGCTTTGTTTAGGAATTATACCAATAATTATATTGGGGGCAGGTGGGCACCGCCAACCATATACACCACCTGGTAAACGAATTTTGGATAATCGATAATCAATAATCGATAACGATAACGATAACAATAGCAGTACAATGCATGTATGCAACAAATTAAACAACAAAACTTTTGTAGTCCTTTCTTAGCATGAACAGCACAAACAATTTGATTGGCTCCTAATTTGTACACTCAATAATACTTCTCTCTCTCTCTCGTACACTGTTATTCTCTATATATTACTTTTGCATATCTAAAATTCGTTTATCTGTATCTTTAGTTAATACTTGGTTGTGTTATATGTACATAATATTTAAAAACTTTATATTATTGCCTGCTAATCTCTTGACTCGCACAGTCCAAGCTTGACAAATCTGGATAACTCGTGTTCCCACAACCTGGACATGGCTGAACTGGACTATAATCCATCGAAAAAGGATTTGACTGATGCCAAGATACATCACTTGCTCGCCGAAGAACTTAAGCCCTATCGAAGGGTATGTATACCGATAATGAAAGAGCAGTATTCAGCATTTCAGCATAATAATCGATTTTGGTTTGGATTTCTATGATATAGCAGTACCAGTTTTATCGACTACTACTATATACCTTATAGCATTTTCACAAACACATATAGACACACACACAGCCCAAGTTCTTAAATACTAACCCAATATATGATATATTTATCACGAGTCTAATCGATCTCACAAAAAATACTTGACGCCTCGTAGACGTATTTGTATTTTATGCTTTCACCTTAGTTTCCTTTATGGGCATTTGGTTTTGAGACACGCTTCTCTCTCTATCTCTTTCACTCTTTCTATCTCTTAATATATATAAATATCTATATTTATCTATCCCTCTCACATACTCTCTATTTACATATGCTGATTATATCTATATATTTAGATATATTTGTAATTAATCGTTTGTTTGATTTCTTCCCGTTGTTACGAACTCAACTTCGACTTCAACTTCTCGTCAACGTCACGTATTCAACTAAAACAAAAATATATCCGAAAACTACTTCAAATTTTTGTGTGCTTTGAAAATTATTTACGAAACTGTACAAAAATATTCAAATATTTTCGTAATGAAAGGCTTCCATACAAATGGTACGAATAAATTGGTTCAAACTGATTTAAGAGTTTTCTGTTTCATTTTTAGTTTCGTTTACTTAACAAATTTGTATAACTAATTTTAATTAAAACAAATTTTTTTCTGTATATGTTACACTCTTTGTGAGTCTGTACTAATGACCGCAAAATGTTTTTGTAATGCATATAATTAATTATACTAATTAAATAATCAACAGTTTCTAGTAAATATCTTAATGTATTTCAATTGGTGTCTATATGAAAACAAAACACAAAAAAACAGTCTTTAAATAATCGTATTCATAAACAAACTTTCACTAAACGGAAAAATAATTCTCACATGTTATATAAATATACATATCTACATAAATGTATACTTAAATCTTCATAAAGATCTAAAGTCAGATTTGATATTTTAAGTTTAACATCAAACAAGCTAAAAATAAAGATGTTTAGATATAGATAGACTCAACAGTATACATATAAAATTGGTTCAGCTAGAGTTTAAATTAAATAGATATGAAAATCTTTAAATATATTCTTATAAATAACTATTTAAAAGATTTGCAATAAATTAGATGTAGAACATGATAAATTTATAGAACAATACTTAACATTTTTGATTAGTTTTGTTGCCATAGAATTTAAATTTTCGTTAAAATAAAATGGTTATTTAATTGAAAGTCTTATAATACGAATTGCACACCTGAATCGACCACCCTAGCCGATTCAGTGTAAAGGCACCCACATTTTTCTTCTATTTTATTTATTTGTTACCATTTTTTTCACGAAAATAATATAATTAACCTTCTACTCTTGCAAGATATATTATTACACACACTGTTTAGCAAGAATCTAATATATATAACTCATCTATAATCAATATTTGTTGTGTTACAATGTGTTATCCTTCTAATATTATATATCTGTATACTCTTTTCAAAATATGAAATAATGCTTGAAACAAATGAATATGTATGAGGTCTGTTCAATAGTTATCTATTTTCTTCCCTTCAGATATTAAACTAATTTTATGGCCTACTAATTTGGTATTTCTTTGAAATAGAAAAAAATCATTCAAAGCCTGAAAAATATAGGACATCATTAGTGTCTGAAAGCCATAAAAGGATTGAAAATTCAAACTTGTCGCCATAGCTGAGTGACATGATAATGTATCATTTAAGAATATACCGCCTCTACGTTTATTATTGGAAAGAGTATTCATGTTTCGGCTGATCCGAAGTTAACCCTCAATTGTTGCGCCCAAATGCACCGTCCTTGATAACTCAATTAATATACATATATAAATATACATATACATACATATATATAAATGTATTATTCAGATGGCATAATCTCTATATATGTATAATCTGTACAAATGTTATGCGACCTTTTTACACCGTAATCAATTGTTGTTTATGCTAGTTCTCAGCAAAATAAAATAATACATTTTTCTTTATGTGAAATAACTGTTAAGCATTGACCCGATGCTAGTTAATCCTTTTAACGATTTCTATATATACAGCTGCGAAAAATAAAATAGCACCACTTGCATATTCAGAGTTTGAGGAGTTCTCCTGGACACATTTATCAATGTATTGATGTAATTTTTTCACTCAGATAAGCAGAAATTAATTAGTTATTACGGCAAAAAAGAATTATTACAAAAATATTCATAGTTTTTATATAATTCAAAAAATTCTCAAAAAAGTCGAAATAATGCCGAAAAAAATAATAGCACCACTACTACTTTTCGAGTGAAAACCTGTATTTTTAGCAGAGTTACATATCTTCAAAAGCACTTATT